GCCCAGGGCAGAAGGAGAGATACCACAATTGTTTAGCACACGTTTGGTCAAAGGATCAGCTTCACTTGTCTCTTTGACGAGTTGTTGTATGGTGCTAAGAATGGCGATACTCACTGACGATGACGGTGAAACGTTTGGGAATTTACCACGTCCACGGTTTTAAATTAGGAAATGATGATGTAGGAAATGGACTCTGGACAAGATGCATTCCTCTAAGTCTTCTTAACAATGTGACCATGTTGCGAGAACAAGGTCAACCAACCTCTATACAACGAAAGGAGACTGCGACCACACAAAAGGCCACACCATCTCGGTCTTCATACCTTCGATAATGATACTTTTTTCGTTTAGAAATAGTTTTTGAATCTATCACTTATATGAAATGTTTTAACCCTATTTCTTTTAAGGTAATGAAGAAATGGTAGTTGAATTTGTCCGCAATTGCATGAATAGGCCATAGAATTTCTCATTGCCTTGTTTACCAAAATCTATTCACATCCAGACTTGAGTGGTCTGACACTTCGAACTCACCGGTCTCATCTGCATCCCTAGTGGGACTCGAGCACGGCTTATAGTATTGCAAGAAGTTAACCACTACTCCAAACTGTCATGAATGACCTTAAATATTAAGGGAGACGTAAAATTCAAAGAAGCACAGGCCTATCTCATAGCACATTCTTTGGTGGAATTGTCGATGAAGCAAAATTGTATTTGCTACTATTATCAACTATATTACTTATTTTTAATTTTTAGTAGGTATAGATACTGCAAGAATAAGAATACCTTTAGGGAAGCAAGGCTATTAAAAATTCACTGGAAACGTGAGGATTGCATATATTATTGTGGGACAATTCATCCACCAGTCCTTGATCCACTTAAAAGAAATAAAATGAACGCATTTCTTATTAATACTAAAGCTGAATCAAAATGGAAACAAAAGAAGACATTAGGTAAATAGGTAAGGAAAAATACAAAGGGGGAAAACTGTGAAGACTTACGGAAACGAAAGGGACAATAAGAAGAGTAAGGAAGAATTAAAGTAATAACAGACAATACTATAGAATATAGGAAAGAATAATAAAGTCAAATTAAAAGGGAACAGTTACAGTATGGAACTAAAAATAAGGGAAGATAAGAAGAGAAAAAGTAAACGCACATAAGGTTGCAATTATGAAAGTCCTCAAAAAACGATATCATAAATAATGAAAGAAGGGACGAAGTAAAATTAAAGTATAAAGGGTTAGATAGAATAAATTAAGAGAAAGAAAATGGAATAGAAGAGACATACAAGAATTAAAGCGATCTTATTTCGGGTCGCAAGTAGCTCGAACGAGCCTGCACCAATACCTCTTTGAGTAGGTAAGGAACAAGGATTTTTCTTCCTACTAGTCGGCCAGAAGAGTAGTTATTTCATATTTGAACAGATACTAGCCAATAGCCTGCTCATCTTGGAGTAATGTCATCCGAATTTGCCTATTGCACTTAATGTGGCTAAGGCTCTTATATTAATAGGAATCAGGATTCTAGACAAGCAGTAAATCTTGAATAAGTGTTTGAGTAACTCTTGAGCGCATATGGTGTTGAAGGGCAGATACTTGAATTTTTCCCCAATGACATGAATGTGAAAATTCATCTAACGGTCTTTCATCACCTTACCTGGCCTGGGGCTACTAGAACACTTATTCAAGATTTGCGTATAGTCTTGGAGCCTGCTTTCTATAAATATACGTAACGTAGTCGATTGTAATGGTAAAATACAACTCTTTTTTCGTTTATAAGTAGGGTTTCGAGACTAACAATAGGTCATTTATATATGAAATGTAATCACCTTATTTCGTTCAAGGTGGTGAGGGGACTGATAGTTGCATTTTTCCCAAAATGTTCTGAGTAGACCATACATTTTTTTTGAATAGGGTGAATACACTTCATACATAAATGCTATACTGGTAGCCTCGAAACCCTACGCTTTTGCCAACTATCTGCTGAACAGTTGACCTGATACATTCAGCTATCCCATATCCTCATATCACACCCTTTAGTATCACAATTTCCTACTTGCCCATTTGAAGCTATTCCAGATGTGCCCTTTTGAACTGATTAAGTGATACATATTCACACTCATCACTAGTTTACCCATCCCTCACCAACATTCTGCTGGAAGTGATGATTCAAGTCTACCTTTATAGTCAAAAATCCTCTCAATCCAAGTTCTATCAAAGTCTCCCTCTTACACGGATATGGTGACAGTGACCAAGTTGAAACCCTGAACTAGAGAGATAAGAGACTGCTTCTCATACAGGGCAAGAAAGAGACTCTGATAGGACCAGAATTGATGGTATTGGGGACTAAAGGGGCAAACTCGGACCACAACACTCCTAGCAGAGGGGATGGGGGTGAGTGAATTAGTGGAAAATGTGAATATGTCTCACTAGATCTGCTCAAAATAGGACATCTGGAATAGGTTCAACTAGGCAAGTATGAAATTGTGATAGTGAGGCGGATGATATGAGGATATGGGATGGGTGAATCTACCAGGACAGAAGGAGATATATCACAACTATTCAGCTGGCAATTGGTCAAAGGATCAGATGCATTTGTCGCTTTGACGAGTTGTAGTTTGGTGCTAAGAGTAGCAAGGCTCAGGAACTATGCCAACTTCGATGCCGGCAAAACGTCTGAAAATGTACCAATCCACAGTTCGACACTGAAAATGATCATGAAATCCGGATAAGTAGTGTTCATCTCAATCTCCCTGACAATGCGACCAAGTTGTAAAAACAGTCACACCACTCCTCTACGACGAAAGGAGACCGCCACCATACTAAAAACTCCATCAGATTTTTCTCTTTAAAGCTTCAATTGAAGGATAAATAGTATTCTTTAATATCATATCATATGGAGTACTGAATTAAATGAGGGAAAAATTCAAATATCACTCATTCTTCATCTAATGCCACCCAGGATGACAAAAACTATTTTTAAAGTTATTATTCAAGATCCACACAGTTCCAAAGCATACTGGCTGCATATATGATCCACAAATTTTGTAAAACGTCACTTCAATTCATTAAAGATAGAACTGGGTTGACCTCGTTTTCGCAACTTAGTCTTGTTGTCAGGGCGACTTAGTTGAACGCACCTTGTCCGAAGTCCTCTGCTATATTAGTTATCATGATGCGGACAAGGTGCGTTCAACTAAGTCGTCCTGACAACAAGATCAAGTTGCGAAAAGGAGGTCAACCCACTTCTATAAATAGAATGGAGACCGCGAGCATGCCGAGGACCACACCATTTTGGTCTCATATATCCCATTTAAAGCAAACAAATCGAAACTTCTACCTTTGACAATAGCAAAATGTAAAGAAAGTATTTCGGTGCTCCCACCTCGTGGTGCAGCATGGTCCAACAGCTTATCTGGCCAAGTGTAGAGCAAGAAAAAATACGTTACAGCGTAGCAAGAAGTATACAATCCGTAATGGAGTAAATGTATATCCGATATTGCCAAAGCATGTAAAGACACCATTTCGTCTTGAAGGATTCGGACGTTTGGGCAAACGAATAGTAAAGGATCGGCCAACAACATTCCAGACATTTCGGGCAATTGTACACATTGGTATGTCTTGAAAAGACCATTTTTCGATGCAGTTCATACCCACGAATGGCAGCAGAGTAACAAACCTAGAAAATCTAACACACCAGCCATCTCATGGTACAATCAAAATGCACAATTTCCCACAGATTGAGTTAGACCGGCCCGATAATATTATAACCACATAAATATATTTAGACAATAAATTAAGAAGGAAACCTACATTTCTGTGTGTTATATGCACACCCCATTCCAATTTGTTATATTACTTACTTGTCAGGAATTCTGGTTTAGTTCATTTATGAATTTAGTCGTCCTATCGAAATTATTTGTTTAGCCATAGAATTCTTCCAGATTCTGAGATATGAAGAGAAGTTTGGTTCTCAAATATTCTCTTAGTGGATTGATACCGGCACACCTTTCATCTTGTTTTAGAAGGCGAGTGAAAGGGATTCGTAGATTAGCCATACCGGATACCGAAGGAGGGTTGCCTTGGGCTTTTATCCGTTGAAATGTGCAAGGAAGACCTCAGCTCACCGTCCTACGACACTGAAGACTATATGATGATCTTTCGTCCGTCATGTCGCAGACATCGTAAGAGCCAGAAAGCATTATTCACGAACATTTAACAAAAACCTAAGCCAAGAAAAGTGGCCAGCTAAGCTCCTACTTACTTCTTATGCCTCACTTTGTGATTATAATGAGGCATTCTATAAGTTGGTCGGTTGCTTTATGCCTTATTTTTCGCAAGAGGTATTGTTTCGAGACTAACAGTAAATCAGTAATATGAGATGTATTCACCCAATTTCATTTAAGGTGATGAAGAACTGGTAGAAGAATTTTCCCACAATGAAATGAGTAGAGCTGACGTTTCCATTCAATTTCACATATCCTTGCTTTGCAAAAGTTGTTCTCATCCAGGCACCAGTGGACTGCAGTTTCGACCTCGCATCGGTCTTA